GTAAAGTATAAAAAGTAATGTGTATCAAATTTGTAAAGCAGATTTGTTTGTTCTGTGAATTGAAAACTCCAAATAAAATATATATTTCAGAACTTTACTATAAAAAATGTATTAAAATGTTGATTTTGTATCTAGATGTAGAATGTATGTAGATATATACATACATACAGTTTCTATTAATATCTTTGACATTGTCAAAACATTTAAGTTTTGCAACTTATAAATCAGCTTTTTTCTAAATTGAGATTTTGTTTTTGCTTCTTAAACAAGTATTAAATCTTTTACAAGTCTGCAATATATTTTATTTTGAAACTGTTTTGTTTATAATTTATAAACCACTAAAACATTTTTCCCATCAAATATATTCACTAACTTCACATATTATTTTTGTAACACACATTTTAAATAATTTTAACATTTAACACTTTACAGCCATAAATAAATCTAAGGTAATAAGACAAAGAAATCAAGCTATATATGTATATAAAGCATTCATAATTCATCTACACTTAGAGATTCGGTACGATCATGAGATGAAATAAAGCTGAGTTTTCATGTAGAATCTTGTAGATATTTTAGTGCAGTCCTTAACTCTTTTAACACCATGTTTCAAAGAAACATCTACCAATTACGATTATTATTATTAACCTTATAGTATTGACCCGATCTCAGTCGTTTTAGTGCCTGGGTAGCTCTCTACGACCGTGGTGACGAGATTAACCTTCAAAAAACACATATTGTTAACGGAGAACATGTATTTAATGGAAATTAATTTCATAGCATTGCTTTAGTGAAATTAAAATATATAAGCATACATATACTTGATAACATGCTATAAATGTAATTGAAATATAAACAAAATTAAAATAATGATTCCATTCTTGTGATAACAACATCTTTGGAGAGAAATCGCTGCTTTATTTATGTTTAATATCTCTTAATTATCTAACGAACAATGACATTAATTTTTCAGGAAACTTCACCTTTACTTCTAATTACAATGTGTGAGTTTCAACCGCCAGTCTATTCATCTGGAATATTTGATGCTCATATTATAGTTTCCTTGATAAAAGCCTTAGCTGTATTCTACTGGTTTACTCGGTATTTTATTATAACAACTTATAGGACTAAAAACAATATGAGTAGGTAGAAACCGCTTCGGACTTACTAAATATTTTTCATTAAATAATTCAGATAACTAAAATAACATCACTGACTGGAGCTTTACGCAGGTGTGTCCGATGTATTCCATATAAAGTTCGAACTATTATTTATAACTCATTAGCTAAACCCTTACTTGAATATTTAATAGAAGTATGGGGATCTGCACACAAAACTAATTTAAAAGATCTACAAATATCACAAAACAAACTATTAAAAACACTACACCAACTGGACTACCGCTTTCCAACCAAAGAACTTTACAAGAAAACTGATACACTATCTATTGGACAATTATACAAATACAAAACATGCATACTTATAAGAAAAATTATCTCAGAATCTATAATATATATCTGTATATTTTATTTACTTTAACAAACTTGTATAATGAAAATGGAAAAAACTGCACCTTAAAAGATTATACAATACATAATTCTTCAGTTAAAAATATTAAAAAGTCACTTGAGAAGAGTCTTTGAGTTGGTAGGTATAAACTTCGTCAGATTACAATTTCAATACAATTTCTTTTGAGCTTCGAGACCCATTCAATCCTCTCATTCATATTGCTTCGCCCAGGTGATGAAAAACCTCAGACAAAACAGTGCCAATATAATAACTTCTTCATTATTAGTTATCACTTATCAATGATCATTTACACCCTTAGCTATTCTACTACATCGAACAATATTTTGTAAGAACAAACGAGTAACATTTCTAAACGATCCCGTTGTATTTCATTTTTTAACATTTACGAGTATATCGCAGAACCCCATTACTTGTGTGATAATGTTTTTTTTTATAAAGTAGATGACATACATACATGTGAAATAAAAATTACACAACATATTTGATATTAAATCTAATATATTATTAATTTATACTAGCAGATTGTTTCAAACAAATTTTATTTCAATGAAAGCAATCTAACTATATATAATTGTTTTCAATCGTTTATAGTTAAATAGTTTTTGTGTGTATTGTATAAGTTTCTTTTCACGGCTTTACGTGCAGATCTTACTTTATATCTTAATCAATCGAATTTTGGTGATTCTTTTGTTAAACGCTCGTTGTTCATATACATAGTTTATAATTTGTTTTAGACAATATTGTGTGATTCAAAGTTTGTTGAAATAAATATTATTTGGAAATGTTATGTGTAAAATCGACACAATTTTCTCTTTGTCACGATAGTTTCGATATGTAATATATTAAAAGCTAACAAAACCCAACAATTCTTCATATATACGTATTGTGTGTAATTAAACTTTTAGAGAAGTTATTGCTTGTCTGTCAAATACACTGCAAAGGAATGGAAATGTTCAATTACTGGTTAGTTAAATCATCAGTCTACATCTAATCAAATGTTAATAAACGTGTAACAAAGGCTTTGTTCAGTAACGTTGTTAGGAAAGGGAAACCGCCTAGAGCGTTGAATATGAAGGGTAGACCAAAGTAACTGATAAGAATATAAAAAAAGAAGCCAGAAAGAGAAAAGTGGGCTTGGGCTTTATATAAAGAGTGATATAATAAAGACACAAACGATGTAACGGTCACAAAATCTAAATATTCTGTTATTATTTTAGCAGCCTGTTATAAAACTTATGCTAAATACTTTACTTACTTCATACTTAGGAAAGTTATGTTCAAAAGCTTTTTGAGGCTAATACAGCAGCTAACATTTATGAGATTTAGATTAACAGTTTCATAGTTTATTCTAATTTAATATATTATCTCTTTACTAAATTACTGAACTCCATACTATTGTATGTCTTAGTAAATCTAAGGCAATGAAAAAGTTCTATTCCTGTTTTACAAGAATACAGATAAATAGTATATACAAGTTTCCTTTTTGAAATAACAACGCAACATTTGGACGCACTTTACAGATTTTTTACAGGAACGTTGCTTATATAAAAGGAATATGTTAAACAACTTTTATTTTATAATAAATATGTATTTACCATTACTCATATTAAATAATGGAATGAGAAGTTATGGGCATATCTAGAACAGCTGTAGATTACTGTAGATGTGTAATATACAGTGATAAAATATAATGGTTCCAATATAACTCTTATGGCTTTTATAGAAAATAGAGAAACTAACACAGTTTTAAGCTTTGTTTGCGACATGCTTTATTTTTCCATTACAATTTAATAAAAAGATATAATTGACAGCTATTGTTGACTAAATCCGAGTGATGATGTTCGACTATTTGGTGATGTCTATCGACAGGTATTTATATAAATAAAAATAGTTCAAATAAATACTAAATTCGTTAAATATTTAATGAGATCTAAGATTTACACGAGTACTCATTTAAATGAAAATAATATTTTCGAATTTATGTCCTACACGATATTTTATTTTTGACTATAAACTAAAAAGTCGTTAGTATGTATGTAGTTTATAGTCAAAAAAAATATCACGTAGTAAATTCGAAAATATTAGTTTCGTTAAATATTTATTTATCTTAGTATAGAATATTTTCATATAAACAAATATTTAGAGAACGTTTTTGCTGTGGTATTTTTTTAATCACTCTCCTTTACTGAACACATACGTTATCTAAATATCATTTTTATACTACAACTAGGTTCCTACTATAAATATAAACAAGATATTTTTTAACATTTAATTCGCAAAATAACATACAAAATCGTTTTTATTTATTAGCCATATACCTAATAAATTCTCTTTATTAATATAGTTTTCTTACACATATAGATTATTGAATATAATTTCACAATTTTTTTTACATGCTAATAATCTAACTAATTTTGTACTTTTTAATATAGAACCTTATGAATACAACAAATAATTATGTTACGGAGGTATTTATATAAAATACATACTTATATTCTGATTTAATAGAATTAAATGTAATTTAGCTTATCTATAGCAGCACAAAGAATATTTTTTTTTTATTTCATATTTACGACATACTAATATAATATTTAAATATGTACAGAGAGTTGTAATTTCTTTCTATATTTTTAACAATCTCGACACAAATTTTCATTATGTTATATGGAAGAAAAATGTAATTAACATATTATGCAGCGCTGCGGTCATTTAACAACCAATTCTTCACTTAAGGCTTATAATTTTTAAATAATTACAATTAAAGATAGAAATAAAAGAAAAGCGATTCCATTTTTTCTTTAAGATATGTGTTCAAAGCGGGAGTAATCCAAGTCTTAATTAATTAAATCTAAGAACGTGTACAATGAAATCGGCGTATAATATTCTAAAGCTCCTTTATTTCCAAGTAAATCGCTCCTCAAGGCTGCGAACACGTTAATGAGGCTTAAATTAATCAAAACCTTAACAATGTGCTAAATTTTAACAAAGTATTTTCTAAATAGCTTCTAAAGAAAATATGAATTCATATATTTTATATGATCCTTTAAGACAATATACGACGAAGATAATACATCTTTAATAGCGGCTCTCAGTAATGTGCTTTAATAAAGTTATATATACTAACAATAATTATAACTGTGGCAAAAATTCTATGGCAATCCTCAGGACCACCTACTGGCAATATGCCAGTATGTACACACATTTCAACGTTAAATGCATAGAACCGTCGCAGTTATACTACGAAACAGAGAACATGGGGAGACTACGACGAAGCATTCGAGGGAAAGCTATAGAAGCTGTATAAAATCTACTCTTCCCTAACGAGAACGTAGAAGACACCATATAAACACTTGACAATAGACAAACAAGGAATTTAACAGAATTTAAAATGAATTTAACATAATTTAACACACAAATAAGGAAGGAAAGTAAGCAAGACATTGAAAAAATACCAAAGTACAATTGCAACAATGGCAAAATTAACGCCACCTGTATCTCCGAGTCCGAAGCAGAAGGAGACCCGCAGGCGAGGAAATAAACAATGCTTGTTCGGAGTACTGAGAAGTCATAAAGATTCACCGAGGCCAAGACTCGATACTGGCAGGAGCTCATTGAGAGACAGACCGTAGGCAACGATACTTGGTAAGCTGAGATTTTGGGCTTCTTGTGATCAAGGTTTCACTTTCAACAAGTTTAAGATGACACAGAATGAGTGAAAGTGAGCCATAAGGTAGCTGGCCTCTCTCAACGCAGTTTCCGTAGGCAGCTGGTAGCCTATCGCTAGAGTACACAGTACTGTTTGAATCTGTGCTGTCAAGGAAACAAACATTAAATGTAAAGACAAAACGACTACCAAAGTTTTTTAAGTTACCTCACAACATTCTTAAATAAACAACACAATGGAATATATAAATCTTATAATAATATATCTGAAATAATAAAATTGTTCTCACAATATAGCGTTAGAGCTCCCGACTCAGTGAGTCAATCGACCCGCTAATTAAGTTGCGGAGTGTGATATTTATGTATCGTATTGATTTATCTTTTATAACTAAACTAAATATATAAAGATATTATAATATTTTTAATGAATCTTATCATAAGGTTATTGATAGATGTTTTTCCCATAAACATAACTAAAATAGTTATTGAAATATATCTACGTAAAAATTGTCTCGCACATATTGGGCTATTGTGGTGTTGTGATTACTTAGTAGAGGTAGTGGTGACGACGCCAAATAAATACTGAATTAACATTTATCATTTCTTTTGTCATGTCATGTCATCAGCCTATCAGAGCCCACTGCTGAGCAAGGCCTCTTTCTCACATGGAGAAGGTTTGAGCATTAATCACCACGCTTGCTCAAGACGGGTTGGTAATTTCAAACTTATAATTGTGAAACTATAAGTCCAGGTTTCCTCACGATGTTTTCCTTCACCGTATGTCAGTGATGTCTAAATACAAAATCTCAGAAAGTATATATGACTTCGAAAAATCACATTGGTACTTGCCAGGTTTGAACCCGCGCCCTCGGCAACGAGAGCCGGGCCCCTTAACCACTAGGCCACCACTGACTTTCATTCATCATTTCTTTTATTTTATGGTAATAAGATTTTCGTTGCAAAAACATTTGAAAATTTAATAAAGAATTATGAAAAACGGAAGACTAACGTCATATATAAGGAATTATTGAATTTTGCATTTATTTAAAAAAAAATTATAAGACGTATAAAACCAAATACCTTTTTATAAATTATGAATTTTAACTTTTAATATTATAGTTAAATAAAACTTGTTTCGAGAGAAGTGAAAACTTTGACCTATTTACCTAATAGAGCTGAAAACAAGTTCAGTAAATAAATATTTCCTTTATGAAACAAGTTAAATGAATGGATATTAAAAATAAGATTTGAAACAAACTCATATACTTTATATAATACTAGAAGACCCGGCGAACTTCGTATCGCTCTATAATCAAATCGGGTGATCTTGCAGGCCAAGGCAAATCGCCAAAACGAGAGATAACTCGGCCTGGAAAAGCGTCCCTCACTAAGTCCATAGTGTCGCGCGCTGTGTGTGCCGTAGCGCCGTCTTGTTGAAACCAGATGTAACTTTTAGTGGGTGTAGAGGTGTTTCTTGAATAATGCGCGGATTATCAGTGCCCCAGAACCGAGTATTCTGCTTATTGACATGCCCTGAGAGATGGAAATGCGCTTCGTCACTCATAACCATTTTTGTGTATCAACTCTGGAGGTCACCATTTAAAAGACATCATCTTTAAATCCTAATGGTACGAAATTTAATGGCACAAATATACATTTAAAAAAACCTAAATCTAGTTTTCTCATTTAGAAAAAATGTTATAGCTGAACCAAATAGGGTCTTTACTTTTGCGCCACCCTATATAATACTAGAAGACCGAGAAGTGCGACAGAATGATTAACATATTAGTTAGTTGTCAAATCTAATGTCAAAAAAAAATGTTTGTATGGGAAATAGGAAAGGGCTGTTTTTATGGTTTTCCCGGAAATGAATCAATTTTTTTCAGTTTTTAAACCTTCCCTGAATCTCCACGAACATTTAAAGACTAAGATGAGATAAATCCGTTCAGCCGTTCTCAAGTTTTAGTGAGACTAAAGAACAGCAATCCATTTTTATATATATAGATGAAATCTTTTTAGGTGATAACCGATTTAAATTAAGGCCACTAAAAACACTTATGTTATTAATTTCAAATATATTAACCCTTTCATACAGGGTTATTATAAAATTGGAGTACGTTTTCTGTCGCAATCGAATAATTTTTATGACTTGATTTGGTAAAAAAACAAAGATATAAATAGCATGTAAAAATAATCTCTTTATAGAAATTAAATTGTTTTCAAACCTTATAGATTGAGATTAACAAAATGTAATCGCAAGTTCGTGGTAATCTATGACTGAGAAACTATTCATATATACATATGTATGTATGTCGTTGTAGCGTTCTCAGGAGTAGTATTGTGATCTATTTCTTAATAATTTGTTTAGGGATAATAACCCCGACTTCACACAAAAATTTATATTAAATTTCAAGAGTTTCAGTTTCCAATGTTTTCTTACTAAATGCATTCGAAAGAATGAATCTCCACTCACAATATTGTGGCAGTTTCAAGACTTAGGAGGCAGTTTTAAAAATAAATAAATACGGGTAGTATCGCAAAGCCGTTTAAAGTTAGGACATAACGTATAACTTTGTAAATATAATAATCAATAGACTTCGGAAACCACAAACACACTCATACAAAGACTGCACCTAAAGGAAGAGTTGCTTCACTAAACAGAAACATGTATTTTAAACTCAAATTAAGAACAAATTACAGTACTGTTTAAAATGTTGCACTCAGAGATATATTGTACTCAAAATAATACTACAAACGAGTGTACAAATTCAATTACTTCCTGTACGTAACTTGTTCAATGAGCTTAACAAATCATTTAAATTGATCAATATTTCTTTTGAATATAAATCCATATCCATATAAGTCAGTGGTGGCCTAATGGTTAGAGGGCCCGCCTCTCGTTGCCGCGGCCGCGGGTTCGATCCTGTCCCGGGCAAGTACCAATGTGATTTTTCAGAGTCATAATATGTACTTTCTAAGAATATTTAAAAACCACAGACAGACGGTGAAGGAAAACATCGTGAGGAAACCTGGACTTATAATTTCACAATTATAAGTTTGAAATCACCAACCCGTCTTGAGCAAGCGTGGTGATTAATGCTCAAACTGAAATAGCTCAGTAAGAACATTCCCAAAAATGGGTTGATGTGAGGCAGGCGGCCGGTCGTAAAAAACAATTAGCCGAAACTATCTATAACATGTTCTGTGGAAGAGTTATTTTTTTTGGCAGACCCTGGCTAAAGCTGGGAAGTTGCCAGGAAGAAGAAGAAGATATATCCATATCACAATATTTTCAGAAACATTACTAATCTGCACTACTAGTGTACAAGTACTCTTCACACTTCAAGCTTTTATAGATTTATATTTCTCGTTTTCAATATTTAATAACATATTAATAAAGAGCAGTTGATTGACTTTATTTCTGTTAATTAAATAATTTTTATAAACTTGATTTAAACAAAAAAATCATTTAATATTACTCACTGGCTTATTGTAAAGGAGAAATTGTAACGGTCAAAATTATTAACTGTTAAAATATGCTGCAAGTAATTTATGTTCATGGATGGGTAAAATGTTTGAGGTAATTAATAGTTGATCCCAGATGAAAGAAGCTTAAACACATGAAGCTTGTAACTCGGTTAATGGATTTACATAAGTACATTTGATAAACTTACCCTGTATCCAGACTGAGGTACTTTTAAGGTTTACAGCAATTTTTTTGCTTAAAATAATACTCAACCAAATATCATTAAAATAATAAAAAAGGTTGTAAAGATAACAGGTTGGTTAGTCACTCAATCACCCTATATAATATAACCATTCTAAATATTTTGTAATTTTGTTAATATCTTATAGTACATAGTAAATAATGTTGTTAATACTGTTTGAGGCTATTGTTTCCATTTATTATATATATAATTAATGATTATATATATATATATATATATATATATATATATATATATATATATATATATATATATATATATATATATATATATATATATATATATATATATATAATCTTTATAATCCCTTATATATTCAGAAGCGTTTGTTAAATTATAAATACAGTAGTATACAGTAAATTATCAAACTTAAATATTTTTGTGTTTTTATTCATAAAATGTGAAGAAACAGTAGTATATTAAAATGCCGGTTATTGAGTTACTTAATTTAATAACAGAAATATTTATTTGTTTAAAACGTGTAAGATTTTAATAGTTTAAATAATAAAGTGTTAAGTTTTGTTTCACTGTACATAAAGTCAACAGCTCTTCAGTGAAGTAATCTATTATATTCACTGAACGTACTTTAAGTCTTCTGGGTCGAGGTCGCCTTACTATTATTATTTTTTAAATGTTCGCTCACAGAATAGCGGTTTACGTTCAGCTTTAATTCTTCTCGTGGATTTATTAAACGGTTTCAAACTATCTGAACATTTATGTATTGAAATTTAATTAAAAAATATAGGCGTTTAAAGTCATCGTTTAAAATATGTTTCAGTAATAATTACATTAATTAGTTACACGTGCTACCTGTGGGCCAAATACTCCCAAAAGTCGTATAACGCTCTCCGGGTCCAATATAACAATGCCTTTAGAGTGCTGACGGGATTGCCCCGCCATTGAAGAGCATCAGGGATGTTCACGGCAGCGAGGTCGATTGCTTTTATGCCATTATACGCAAAAGATGCGGATCCTTGGTGTACAGATTGCGGGATAGTCCCAACAGCATCATGAAGGTAATTGCTAGCAGGTTAGACTGTAAGTATGTTAGTCATTGCTGTGCTATTTCGAGCGGATTAGTTCAGCAATTACTACCAAAGTTGCAATTTAGTGATAGTTTTTTGTTAATTAATTTATTACACTAACATAGGAGATATTAAGTAATATGTATCACTAACAATAAAAATGAGTCATAGTCACTTGAAATAAAATTTTTTATTATTATTAATAATAT